GCCAGTCTTTGATGTCATTCAGTGCCCACGAGCAGAGCCGTGGATGAAATAGAACACTCACACAATCTCAGAGACGTTTGGTTGGTTCCCGGTGCTTCCAGTGCTTGCCGAACGCTGCTACAAGATCTATATGAACAGGCAAGCATAGCTGTGTGAAAACTGGCTTGGAAGTGGAAACAGTGGGTATAGACCAAACGACGGACAAAGGCTCCAAACTTCAGACCAAGGCGCAAGAGGTGCTGATCCCCACTTTTCGCAGCTACGTGGATGGGATAAACGTCCTCTTTCCACCACAAAATGGAGCTGGCGCGCGGCAAGTTCACATCTCTGAAGTTTTTGGCCTCACGAAGACGACGAGTGACTCCCCTGCGTGATGGACTTGCTAAAACCAATTGACGAGCCTGACGCATGTGGTCCGTGTAGAGTGTAGACAAACATCTGATTGATCAATGTGATGCAACACATATGCATGGAAGTTAGATTCAATTTAAAGATGCATGCTCCTTGGGACTGTGTATTTTGTTTGGCGCGGCCTAGTTCAGTCATGTTCCAAAGCTGCCCCCCAAAACCTACATTAACCCACCTGACATCAATAAATGTCAGGGTCCGATCGCAGCCTTCAAACTTCCAACCTTAATACAAAAAAAGAACAAGCAAGAATCCCCAACAGCTGGGCCAAAAAGAAAACACCCTCTTCGGCCAGACCCCAAACATCCTCGCACTTGGTTGGGGAACCAACCAAAACTGGGCCTTCCGTGCGCGGTTTCACGTCTCGCGCCGCTGGAACGTCTCGCGCCGCGGCACCTGGAGCCATTGGGTCACCTGAGCCTGTCGTGCTTGGTTCGACAACTTCCTCACACGGTCCACGGTGTCACTGGTGGCGACAGAGACCACCGTCTCACCTGAGTGGAGTTGTCCGACCATGCGACCTGGGGGAAGGTATAGGTATAGAGCGAAAATTGACATCTGGAACTAGGAACAACAACAACTACTACTACTACTCCTCCTGCTACTGCTACTTGCTCCTACTACTACTGCAACTGCAGCTTCGGTAGATCTTCCGGTCCGAGCTGTGGAAGGTACAGCACCAACGAACAGCGTCCATGTGTCCAGCCAAACGCCCCGCCCCTGCAGTCCGCGACGCAGGAGCCCCGAGAAGCGCCGGTGGGGCTGGGCTCCACGTTGACCGTTGACTGTTGGTGTGACCTCGCGGGGCATGCTCGGTTAGCAGTTCCGGCGTGCGATAGCGTGAGGAACAAAGGCCTTCCGTAAGGAGCACCTCAACCATCCTCAACCCTGTCCCATGGATTCAGATGTGAAGGAAGCAAGGACATTCTCTCGCGCCCTCGCCCTGGCCCGGGGTTTGAGCCGCTTTTCTTGACCGCCAACGGGAGCTTTTCGAAACGGGATCCAACTTCCAAGCCAACCTGGATGGACATTTAGCCCAGTCCCAAAACCACAGGAAACAACTACCAAGGGCCCCACAAACAATCAAAGACCTATCAACAAAACACACATGTTCTTTTCTATATGTGAAGACCTCTATTCTTCATGGGTTTGAGGGCCACTGGTATAGATGATCCCTGTTTCCACTGTCTCACACTTGAACACAAGTACAAAAGACATCAAAATGACTACTTTTTCGATCAGTCGAACTTGAGATGAGGTTTTCATGATGTTCCATGTGACGTCGACTAGGCACGCGATCTGTTTGTGCATAAAACTTCAGGCCCTTCCAACTTCTATGCCTACAACACGGCACAAATAGCCTTTTCATGCCTTTTCATGCTTGTTTGCAACCCCTAAAAACGGCTAATGGTGTCTGATTGCGTCGTCTTTTCACTGAAACATGATCGGCGCCGGGTCTATTCTGTTCTCCAAGCATCGAAGCGGGTAGAGCCGCCTGTGAAAGCCTCGAAAAGATCGACACAATGGAGTCCCGTCCTGCGTGCCGTGCGTCCACCACCGGTGGCGAGAGAACAACCCGGAGCGGAGTCCAGGCCGAAGCGTTGGGTTTTGGTCCGGCCCCTGGGTTCTTTGAAGCCTATCCCAACGTGTCCCAGCATACATTCTAGAGGCTCCAATAAGGGCTCTCAACCTCTCTTGAGGATTTCATCTCTTGGGAAATGCATGGAGTCTCCTGCACAAAGGGACTTTATGTGTTGAAGATGCGTGAGCACATGAACTTTGAAAATGTATGAAAATGTTCCCCCACAGGTCAATGAACTCATTTGATTGGAGTTGGTCATTTAAAAGAAAAAACACTACCTATAAGGCGGTAAAAGGCCTGGTTTTCCTGGATCTTTGGACTTGCAGGGTTCTTGGAAGGGGATCTGGTTCGTCTACCTGACCCTGGACCTTCTCGACAAGTCGTGACCTGGGCATTCCAGGAATCCGAGTGTGAGGTCACTAGCGGTCCCATAGACTATCAACTGGTTATAAACCCATATAAACTCTAAACGGATCGATCTAAATCGGCTTCATGGTCACATGGTCATGGAGAGCGATGTGGCCACTGAGTCACTGAGATGGCACGGTGGCACGGAATCGGTTTTATCGTGTCTCATCCGAGGAGGGGATCGAACGTACCACTCTCTTATAGGTTCCAACGACATGGACCTCAGCACATCACCATGGTCACCATGCAGGTGAATTGGATGCTTTTAGATATATATATATATATATATATATTGTAGCCAAATAAGTCTCCTTCTCCAGGTGAATTGGATGCTTATATGGTATAGTTATAATTACATTATGTCAAATCAGTCTCCTTCTCCGGTCGAGGACCACACCCTATAGGGCTCTTGTCCCTTTTTTCCTCGGAATCGGTGGGCACAGGAGCCCGTACGGGAAAGAAGAGACCCTTCCAGCCCACGCTTCTTCTCCCCAACACGTCCCTCTATCCCCCGCTGTGTGTCCCCCAAAAAGACAAGGCCTCCGTCGTTTTGAGCCACCATGTCCCATGTCAGACACAGGTGCTCGGAAGGCGAAAAATCGATCACCGCTCTGCTTCGAGCACAGGACCCGTATGAGAGGTGGCCTTGGCCTGCTTTGCCCATCCCATCTATAGCATACCACTATATTTAGAGTCACAAAAGGTCCCATAATTATACAATAGGATCAGGAACCTGTTCAGAACCTGCCAAACATGTGTACTTCTGTGATCTTCTGTGTACTTCTTCTCTTGCTCCCTCAAAAGCCCACCGCTCAACAGCTGCATGTGTCGGACCAGCGGTCCGACCGACCCCAGAACCGACCCGTGCCGAGCGAATGGCGCCGCGACTTCGGAGGGAAGAACTGCGGACGTCGTGCCGCCGCGGTCCTTGTTGGGCCGCGGAGGTCAGCAGGACGAAGCTTCTGGACTTCGTCAAGGCTCGATCTTTGGAGAACGTGGGCCGTACTGGGTCGCCCCTGTGGCTCCATGCGCGCGGCTCCATGCACATCCGGGCGGGGGCGGGGTGGGGGGCTTGACGCTGGGAGTGGCCGGTGGTGTGGCTGGGTGGTTCCGGGTGGTGAGCGCTTGGTATTGAAGAGAAGGAAGAGGAGATGGAAAAAATGCAAAAAAATACTTTTTGAAGACCAAACACTGGTCTTACTATCTATGTTTAAGAATGTTTAAGACTGCAGAACCACATTTGGCACAATGACGTGAAGCCATCGAAGCCTCCACAGTTCCCTCTGCCTCACTGAAGCTGTCGATGACCGCATCTCTCGCTCCGCTGTGACCGCCGCAGCTATCGCCACATGGCTCACGGCTGTCCACGGCAGTCGCGCCGGCGACACGCGCGCGACGCGTGACGCTGTAGGGGGGGGGCGTGGATCCTGGGCTTGTGACTGGGATGGCACCCGACCAGTGCAGGAATCCCTGTGGCAGCGATGCTTGGAAAAATAACGACTTCCTCCAGCGAGATGACCAACGATCTTCCAAGACTGATGTCCACACTTTACAAACGTTAAACAAAAAAGGGTAACGCTTGCAATTCAGAACATGGATCCCGAGCTACATGTTTGCGGATGTTATGATGTTGGATCCGTATCCTCAAGCGTTTTCACTTGGCGCTCCAATGTCCGTATCCTCGAGTGGAAGGCTGTGCCACCCGGTGACCGACTGGACTGGGAAGGGCTGAAATAAAGCTGCTGCAGACTCGTGTCCGACTTCCCTTGAGCTGAGCTTTCGAGCCCATCGCCTCGTGAACCGTCGGTTTCCCAACGAAAACCGCCCGGTCCACCGGTCAGCCGAGAACGTCGAAGATTCTAAAAGCGAGAAAACTCAAACATAGGCCCAAATTTGGGAAAACAACATAGACACATACTGACACAGAGTGTCTGGTGTGATCACAGATTTACTGACCTTTGAAACTCCCATGTGGCCCTTTGTATGTTTATGACATATAAGAAGTTGTTTGGACAATTAAACTACAATTCATTTGGGTTTCCTGGAGTTTATCTATGTTGGATGGTCTCTTGGAATTGCAAGAACACCATCCTTAAACAAATCACTTACAACACCAGTTCTGCTCGTCTGGCCTAGACATCGCTCCAAATCTCGTGCGTCGACCCTGGCATGTAGGCAAACTCTGACATCTCAGCAACTCTTAAAGCTATACAGCGGTTTCATAGTCAAGTTCGGTGGTTGATATGAATCCCTCAAACAAAACATCTTGGAATGCCAGTGCCATCGAACCTCTGAAACCACTGTAGTAAATCTCTTGAAAACAAGCCACCGAAACCACATGGAACAAAACCATCTTCTTCAGCACAAAGACTCTCGAACTGGCATTGTATCAACAAATGGTGTTTGGCCCTGTTTGGCATCAACGGGTGGGCTGATGTGTTCAACATGGTTGCTCAGTTCCCACTCCCTGCCTGAAACAGGTGGAACAAACACCTACTGCACACACCGATCTATCTAGCTCTTTCACACCTACTGCACACACATTGAGGTCAAATCCCTCATTCTTCACAGCACTTGATCTGACCTCGCTGAGGCCTCCCACCCTCTGGAGGCGGCTCAACTGATCCACCCGCCTCAAAGATCTTCGATTTCGCACCGAACAGCTGGGTTTTCAAACAGTAACCTCCTGGCCTTACTACTAGGAGCAAGGACACTACTAGGGGCTCCTGGCCTTACTACTAGGAGCAAGGACGCTACTAG